GAGTCAATTAAGACGGTGATAAATCATGCTAGCTTGAAGCTCAGTTATTACTTATGGACTAAGGGGCAGGTCCCAAGACTTTTGGATTAAGGAAACAAGAATTTGTTTTTTCTAAGAAAAAGCATGTATTTCAGGAAAAATATACTCGGGTATTCTGGGGAAAAGATGGAAATTCTTGCAAAAAGAAAAAGTTTTGCTTTTATTATCTTCTGAAAAGATAGGGGTGTGAAGTACCTACTCCTTAATAAAAACTTCTCAGCAACACAGTCTTGGGGTTCCTCTGATTTGACTACTTAAATAGAAACCTGGAGCCTGTACTCTGCCCTGCTGCAAATCCAACATGATTGTTTTTCCAGGAGCAGGAATGACAAGTTCGAAGGCCATGTCGCCTGCCTGGCCAATGGGGGCATGTTCTGGTTCCTACTATGATGGATTCCAGTCCTTGGTATGCTCCATAATGACTGATCAACCTGTGACCAAATGGGAAGATACTTGCCCCGCCAGATCAGGCTGTGACTCTGTAATGTACACGCTAAAGCGCTTCTTGGCTGCCACAGCTGCTTCAAGCACTCTCAGGACCACTCTGGAGTAGGCGTGAGTCAATATTCTCTGTGGATAGAGAAGGTTTCATGAAGGGGCAAGCTCCCTGGCGACTGCCCACACCATCTGCACTGTGATGTGTGCACTATGTCCTGGCGCTCCAAGCTCCTCTGTAGGCTTTCCTCACAAGTCAACCATCATCAGAAGAGACCTTGAGAGTACACTGAGTTTCAATCCCCCTACAAGCTGAAAAAGTTCCTGCTAGAGCAATGTAGTGTGGGTTTCCCTAGTGGAGCCCCCACACAGGGTCTGAGAGCCCATGGGGTTCCCTGGGTTGGTCTCCCTATCTCTAAGACATAGTTTGCACACTTGGGTAGACAGGTACCAGGCAGATCACATCAGTCAATGCAGCGGGTGAGGTGGCACCACTGGCTGTGGAAAGACTAAGGGGACCCAGGTTCCTTAGCTCTTACTGTTGTCATGTGGTTCCACTATTGCCAAAACATCTGATTTTTCCAGAGAAGCTGAAAATCTAATAATTAAGTGTTAGCTAATAGTGTTAGTTGAAAATTTTATGAATACTGTCTGGGATAAAAACAAGCCGTCTGTGGTGCAGATGATATTTGTGGACATTTACATGTGGTCCCTGTTCCAAGGGAGAACATGAAGGATCATGTAAAACAGGACGACAGACATGGCTCTCTAGCTCCTGTCAGTCCTATTCGACACATTAGAAATGCAGGTTCGCAGGCCCTACCCTGGAACTGCTGCATCTGCATTTAATAAGAACCTTTGGTGACTCATCTGCATGTTCAAACGTGAGCAGCCCTGTTCTAAATGTAGTCTAGATCAGTGCAGAGAAGGGTGATGCAGGCAGAGGAAGCCTGCCGAATACTGACAAGCATGGCAAGTCTAGGGCAGGGATGGAGAAGTCTTTGGCAAGAGGTGGCACAACCCTGCCTCCACTTGGCCCAAAAAGGCTTTGTTCGTGAATTGGCTTTTGTACGGTTTCACTCACACCTACTATGTAATTTATTTAATAACTTCTAAGGTTTGGAAAGGGATAATAAAAAAAGAGGACAAGATTTAAGAGTTGAAATGCAAGTAAAAATCTTTTATGGTCAGTGGAGGCTTAGGTGGCAAATAGGATGTAAGATGTATGCTGGTGGGAGAGACATCATAAAAGTTTTATGAGTATGACCCCTGTGCTGAGAGACCGGCCCAACGAGAAGTTCCTGTCTCTCCTCACTTGACTGATGCGCGTCTGGCAGCCTTGCATTACTGCCACAGCATCTGAAACAAGATTAAAATCTCCACCCAGTGCTAACCTTCACCAGGAAGATGCTTCATGTTAACCAGTGACAAGAGCTGGTCTGTGTGGATTCAACCAACTATATATCCAATCATAAAAATACTTCTTTAGAAGAACTTCTTGTTAAATTAAGAACCACCAATGCTATGCCAATGTCTTCCTCTGCCTGTTCACACCAACAAGCATTTATAATATTTGTATATTGTTATATATAATAATTTATACAGCACTGTGTATAATATATATAATATATAAAAAATATATATAATATTTATATATTATATATAAATATTTATACAGCACTGTGTGCCAGGCAGAGCGCTGAGCCCCTATACATAACATTTCATTTAGTCCTCACAGTGATCCCATGAGGAAGGCTTTATTGTTGTTCTTATTGAACAGATGAGAAGACTAAAGAACTTGCCCAAGGTTACTCATTAAATAAGTGGAAGAGCTGGGATTTTAGCCCTAATCACCTGATTCCAAAGTCCTTGCTCTGTTACCACATGTAATAGATATCTACTCACCGCCCCATCTTTGATGAAAGTATGGCATAGATCAGCAATTTTATTTCTCGACAGGGATATTCTCCTGAGAAAAAGCTCTCCTCGCTCAATCATGATCTTTTTACATTTAGAGTAATCCTAGGAAGAGAAGAGCAAAATGAGGAAAGAAGATCCAGGTAAAGCTGAGAATATCTGCAGTCAATCAGAGATGGCAGTCAGTGGCTTACCGAGTACTCCAGGGAGGTAAGGCTGATGAAACGAAGGAAGAGCTCCCCACCAGAGGACACTGCCACGGAGGAGTCCACGCCACACAGGGTTTCTATGGCGCTGGTGAGATTTGCTCTCAGGCCCTGGATTGTCTCCCCTGGAATGATCAAAGGAGAAATTTGATGTTCCCCAGAGTGTCACAGTCCCTTGCTAGTGTGTGATTCATCCATATAGTGAATATTTACTGGTTTCATCTGTATACCAGACACTGCTCTAGATGACAGGGATACATCAGTGAAAAAGACAGGGCTCTGCTTCCTAGTGGAGAATGCAAACAACAAACAAGCAAATAAATGAATTATAGAATGTAGTAGAGACAGAAAAGAACAGAAGGATGAACAAGGTGCCTACTGGAAAGAGATGGCCTCTTGGAATGGGGACCATTTTAAACTGAGACCTGAATAATAAAGGATACAGCCACATAAAGACCCAGTGAAGAAAGTTCCAGGCATAGACCATAACAATGCAAAGGCCCCAATATGGGAATAAAATTGGCATGAAAAACAATGAGAGTCTAGCAGGGCTGTAGCATAGTTTAGGGGCGGACAACATGGAACATAATTAAGTAGAGGTGAAGATGTGACAGTACAGGGCAGCCTCAGATTTGAATGTTGTTGTAGATATGATGCGAAGCCAGTGGAGGTCGTTGTAGAAACACATCTGTAGGCCAGCCCTTCAGTTTACAGAAGGTGGCCGCATCATCATTACTACCACGACTTTGTTATACCATACTCAGACACTTACATTTAGAACGGTGAATTAATAGATCACAATGAATGATATTTAATAACAGAATTTATTCTGAAATGTTCTCTGTAGTGTCTGCAGAGAACTCAGGGCAAAGCTGAAGCTCAATAAACATGTATAAAGTTGAATTACTGCTGTAATTTAAGCATGGTTAATATGAGAAAAAATGGTCATTTTTGATTCAAAGCACATTTCATTTATGGAAAGGATCCTTTCTGATGACAACTTGAGGGCTAGCTCCAGGTTAAAAGGCCTGAAATAAAGAAAGAAGTTGGCTTAAGGCTAGACAAATATACATGTCTCATTTTCTACATTTCTAATAGTCCTCAGAAGACTTTCCTAAGACCCAGAGTGTTCAAGAATGACACTCTTTACCTTTATCTCTCTTCAGGAACTCCAGCAAAGTCCGGATGGCAGCCACTGCTGAAGCCATGTCAGGATCTTCTTTCATCTGAGATTTGAAGTATTCAATTAATTCTGAGAAGGGAGAAAAAAGTGACTAATCAGATTCACTTAGCAGGATGTAAGGCTGGAGAGCTTGTTTATGATTGCTGACCTTAAGCAAAGTCATTTTAAAAATACTTTCTTTTGGGGTGTTATAGGGACATGATAAATGCTGATAGGCATAGAGATGACACCACTTTACTGTTACAAGATCTCTTTCTTATTTTAAGATAGTTATCTGTATGCAAGGCATAAATTTTAAGCCCTACTGTTAAGGTGATGAAAAGTCATTCTCCTTCCTACCCTTTCCTAAGTGTTGAGAGGATCACAGAGTCATCTACCTTTCCAATTTCCCCTGCTCTCCCCCCAGAGTCTGTGCTAATTCAAGTTTACTCACATACACACATGTATATGGAGAGTTCAATCCACTTCGCTTTATTTTTTTACATGACAAGCATTGTATTAGTTCGCCCTCATTTGTCACTTAATAAGACACCTTGATAACCGTACAGGATGAGCAGACCAAAGATGCCTTATCCTTGTGGCAGGAAGCCTTCCTCCTTTACGAGGTCCGGGTCTCATTTTTTTCGGAGGCCCGGGGACGGGGCTGTGTGGAGGGGCGTCTGGGGACGCTCTCAGGCCCATTCCCTGACTCCGGAGCAGCGAGGGTGATTTAATTGTGATTATAGGAAAGTCCAGCCGAGCGGCCGGAGAGTGGACAGCGACTCTCCCGAGCCCAGTCTGGCTGGGAGGTTGGTGGGGTCCTCCGTGCGGCTCGTCCCCCCAGCCCATCCCGACTCACCCCTGTCGTCCATGGTGCCTCCGGACCGCGGAGAGCTGGGGCCCCAGAGTCGCTCGCTGCTAGCGAGTCCCGCGAATGAGCCGGCCAAGCCAGAAGCTGACAGCGCGCGGCGCACCCCAGACGCCACTTCCGGCGCTTTGGGGGCGGGGCCGTGAGTGCCGCTCGCGCCCGGGCCCAGCCACGCGTGCGTCACTCGCGGCGCCGGAAGTTGGGGTGCGCTGGCTCCAGAGCCGCACGCTCGACCGCTAGTTCTCTGCGCAGAGGGACGGGGTCGCAATGGTGTCTGACGGTGAGGGCCGCGCAGGGAGGGACCCGACCCCGGGGCTGGGCGGAGTGGGCCTGGCCCGGACCTGCCAAGCAGAGTGCGTCTTTGGGCCGGATGGAACCCCTTTGGGTTTTAGTGGAGGAGCTTTGTGTCCCTCCATTCATTCAGGAGCTACTTTTGGATCGCTTGTGCGCCAGGCAGTATTTTCTGCGCTGGGCAATACGGTAGAGAACGTGGCGGACGGGGATGCTTGAGGAGGTCACTGTGAGCAAGAGGGGTATTCGGCAAGTAAATAAAATCCCAAAGGGTAACAAGAGTTGTGAGACATTGTAAGAGGAAATATAAAAGGACTTTGTGGGGACTATGATCAAGGAGGAGCTACTTCATTGGGAGTCCAGAAAAAAGCGACATAGTGGAACTCGAATGACTGTGAAACTCTGCGGGAAGTATATTTCAAATGCAAAGGCCCTGTGGTTGGTCGAATTACCAGTTTACACTGAGAAGAGGGAAACAGGGAGCTTGGTAGAGGAAGGTGGAGAGACTTTCATCTATACATTAAACTACCAATTATAGGGCCTTAATGTCTTGAAGAAATAGAAGTGAAATGAATGAGCTTGAGAATGAGCTGGATTTTGGTCATGCAAATCATGAAGAGTCTTGTGGGCTTTATTTTACGAAGCCGTTTCAGGGTTTTAAGCAAAGACTTTTGATTTCCAATTTTAAAAGATCACTTGGCTGCTGTGTGGAAGGTGAACTGTGAGGGGCAACACTAGACTTTGGGAGGTCCACTGAGAGGTGAGGACAATGGATCATACTCCCTTTATCCGTTTTCACTGGCCTCACAACCCTGTGAAGGACACAGGCCTGGCATTTCTGGTTTGCAAGTAAGGTAGAGAAACAGAAGGAAATTTACAGGACATTGCAGTGTGTAGAGCCATACTTCTGACAGACCACATTTTTTTTTCCTCTTTCTCAAAATTTTAGGCAGTAGCAAGGACTGAAAAGCCTGAGGATTTTATGTTGGGGCCTGAGGGCGAATTAAGACAAAGGCTTACAGGCTGTGGGGTATGGAGGGGCCTGCAGCAGGCACAGTTAGCTTCAGGGCTTGGTGCTTCATTATGTGATTTACAGGGATTATCTCAACCTGGGATAGCAAAAGAAAAAAAAAAAATCATTATTCCTTAAGGTGTCTAGTCCAGCAGGCAGTATTGGGAAGAGAAATCAGAAACACAGTTGGTGTCAAATGTCACTAGAAGAGAGTTAGTTAGTGGTGTTGGTGGTAGGCAGAGGTAAGACAGTGGGCCATGAAGTGTCAGTCTTTTTTTTTTTTAAATAATGTTTTTTTAAAGAATATTTATTTTTTAGTTGTAGTTGGACACAATACCTTTATTTTATTTATTTATTTTTATGTGGTGCTGAGGATCGAACCCAGTGCCTTACACGTGCCAGGCGAGTGCTCTACCGCTGAGCCCCAGCCCCTGAAGTGTCAGTCTTTTTTTTTTTTTTTAATATTTATTTTTTAGTTTTCGGCGGACACAGCATCTTTATATGTGGTGCTGAGGATCAAACCCGGGCCGCACACACGCCAGGCGAGCGCGCTACCGCTTGAGCCACATCCCCAGCCCTGAAGTGTTAGTCTTTAGAGTCAACAAATTGGTTTTTCCACTTGCTAAGAGTCCGTGTGACTTAGAACAAGTTACATTCATTTGCAAAATAGGGATACTATATACCATATTTATCAAAACTAAGATAATATGCATTACAAAATGTGCAGTATCACTTAGGGAAAAAAATGCTGCCAATCTTAATTGTAGGGTACTATCTAGGTTTTTAAAAGGAGGGGGTACATATTATAACTGATGAAAGACAGCAGTACTATGTCCCTTGCTGGGTTGCAGTCAGGATGGAATGGGGTTGTGGGATCATAGATGCCAGTGCCTAGTGTGGAGCAGTCTGGAACCTCCCAGCCCCCAAGATGGGAGGGCCATCACCTCTGGAAGAAAGAGGTTACACTGGTTTGGGACTTTTTTTGGGGGGGGGGTACCAGGAATTGAATTCAGGGGCACTTGACTACTGAGCCACATCCCCCGTCCTGTTTTTTGTATTTTATTTAGAGACAGAGTCTCACTGAGTTGTGTAGTGCCTTGCTTTTTGCTGAGGCTGACTTTGAACTGTGATCCTCCTGTCTCAGCCTCCGAGCTGCTGGGATTACAGGCATGTGCCACCACGCCTGGCTGGTTTGAGACTTTGAAAAGAAACTAGGATTTTGGATATGCAGAAACAAAAATGGGAGAGGATTATCCTGATATAGGAGAGGGAATCACAGGAAGGAGGGTGTAGAGGTAGGAAGGGCGTCACTGCTCTGCATATCACAGGAGCACCCTCGGCTTCTCATTCCAGTGCACTCAGGTGTTCACCTGTCTGCCACCTCAGTTAAAAGTCTAGCTCTGTGGACATGGACCCAAGACCCCAACAGCCAGTACTGGTGCTTACTATAAATATTGAGTGAGTACTACGTTACGGTAGCCTGTTTAGTTATGTCTTGTCTTTCACAATTGGAAAGCGGCATGATTCCTTTTCATAGTAAATTGATCTTCCCCTTTTGGTTTTTACTTTTTAAAAATTGGTTCCATGTTCAGTTGGCTTGTTGCGAGGTGACTGGATGATCGCTGAGCCAAGTTGACTCTGGGCTTCCCCTTCACCTCTGTGCCTGTGGTTCTCTCACTGGTGATTGTACTACTGGTTATTCAAGATTTTCTGTCCCTAACCAGGCATTTAAAGTGTGAATAACTTTGGGTTCATTGAGTAGATAGTTACTGATCACTTGTTGTGTGCTAGGAGCTGAGGATAAGTTGTGAACAGACAGAAATTCCTGCCTTTGCTGAAAGCCAGATGGTGTTCTACAATGAAGATGGCAGCATTTTTTTTTTTTTTTCTTAGCGGTACCTTAAATAAGGGCACATTTTGCCAGGCATGCTGGGGCATGATGTAATCCCAGCAATTTGGGAAGCTAAGGCAGAAGGATGGCAAGTTCAAGGCCAGCCTCAGCAATTTAAGTGAAGTCCTAAGCAACTTAGATCCTGTCTCAAAGAGTTAAAAGGACTGGGGATGTAGCTCAGGGGTAAAGTGCCCTGGGTTTGATCCCCAGCCCAAAAGGGGTGTGTCTGTGTGCATATTTCATAATCCATATTGCCTTAGGTTTGATGAAATATGGCTCATGGTATTCTAGAGCATGCAGCAGAATAGGGAGCAGGCAAGGGCCGTCTGAGCTTAAACCTTTAAAGCAAGTGGCTTTCTGTTAATCGTATGATTATAAGAGGATAAACATGGAGCTGGGGTTGTAGCTCAGTGGCAGAGCACTTGACTAGCATGTGTGAGGCACTGGGTTCAATCCTCAGTACCACATAAATAAATAAAATAAAGGTATGTTGTCCATCTATAACTACAAAAAAAATTTCTTAAAAACAAGAAACATTTAGAGCCATGTAGTGGATTTATTGTACACATTGGGAATGTCAGCTTTGATTCATTTTTATGCAGCAAATGTTTTTAAATTTCATTTCTTGTTAATGTTTTCAGAAGATGAATTGAATCTTCTGGTTATCATAGTTGATGCCAACCCAATTTGGTGGGGGAAGCAAGCATTAAAGGAATCTCAGGTAAGATGGCTGGAAGAGGTCTTTGGATGTTTCTGTTTTAACTTGTATATGTTTATATTACTTTAAAAAAACCTGGGTTGGGGCTGGGGATGTGGCTCAAGTGGTAGCGCGCTCGCCTGTCATGCGTGCGGCCCAGGTTCGATCCTCAGCACCACATACAAACAAAGATGTTGTGTCTGCCAATAACTAACTAAATAAATAAATATTAAAAAAAAAAAAAAAAAAAAAAAAAAAAAACCTGGGTTGGGGCTGGGGTTGTGGCTCAGAGGTAGAAGGCTTGCCTAGTATGTGTGAGGCCCTGGGTTTGATCCTCAGAACCACATGAAAATAAATAAATAAAATAAAGGTATTGTGTCCAACTGCAACTTAAAAAAAAAAAACTGGCTTTATTGAGGTATAATTTACATAAATTATAACATACACTTCTGTGACTTTTTAGTAAGTTAGTGAAGTTGTGTAACGAGCACCACAATCCCATTTTAGAACATTTCTTTTGTCACCTGAAGTTCTCTCAGGTCTGTTTACAGTCAATTTTTGCCTCCATCCCAAGCTGCAATGCAGGTGGTTTGTGTTTTGAGATCTCTTTATAAATTCTAGATACAAGTTTTTTGTCAGATTTGCCTTCTGTGTCTATATTGCCTTTTCTGAACATTTAATAAATTGACTTATATAGTAAGTAGTCTTTTAAAAAATTATCATAGTCTGGGCTGGAGAGAAAGCACAGTTGGCAGAGTGCTTGCCTCTCATGCACAAGGTCCTGGGTTCAATGTCTAGCACCACCAAAAAAAAAAAAAAAGTTATCATAGGCTGACGGGAAACTTTAAACATGGTGGAGAGTGATCCCATGGCCCATTCCTGATTCCCCCAGTGGTGACATATTACACAACTGTGGCACAATATCAAAACCAGGGCACTCTCAGACCTTACTTAGAAGGCTGGTTCTTGTGCACTCGTTATGGGTGTTGGTGTGTTTGTGTATTGTTGTGCAGTTTTATCCTATGAATGGGTTTATATATCTTTAAAGTCATTCTGTAATCTGAGTTATTGGAGAGTGAGCCTGTTGTCCCCATGTCTCCTGTTTGTTCCACAGTTCACTTTATCCAGATGCATTGACGCCGTGATGGTGCTGGGAAACTCCCATTTATTCATGAATCGTTCCAACAAGCTTGCTGTGATAGCAAGTCACATTCAAGAAAGGTATACATGACTCTTAGGACCACTTTGTGTTCACTGCTTGACATTTTTGAGGTTTTTGTGCCAGTTGGGATGTGCTGTTTCTAGTCTACATTATAAAATAAAATTTTCTGGTTGTGGTGAACAGTAGTACATGTGCATTTCAATATGTAAGAACACTGATAAAAAGTTGACTTGCACAGTGACACATTTCATTTACACAAATCAACTATATTGTCTAAGAAGAATAACGAACAACCAGGCTGGCAACTCCCAGCTCCTTCCTTATTGCTCCTCCCCAAAGGGCAGATTCCACTGCATGTGTGGTCATGCTCCTTTAAGCCAGGGCAGCTCTGCCTGCCTCTCCTGGTGTGACCATGAGCAGCAGCGACCTTGGCTCTGGCCGGGTGCTGTGACACATACTTGTAATCCCGGAAAATCCAGAAACTGAGGCAGAAGAATCGCATATTTGAGACCAACCTCAGCAACGTAGTGAGGCCCTAAGCAACTTATTGAGACCCCGTCTCAAAATTAAAAAAAGACCCGGGATATGGCTCAGTGGTTAAGTACCCTTGGGTTTAATCCCTGTACAAAAACAGAAAAAACGGGTTGTTAGACTCACTACCAGATGGTGCATGTGAGTGTAGATATGTGTAGATTTTTCTATGTATTTTTCATGAGTGCTGCTGACCATGTTTACTTGGCACATTATGTACTGACTGTATGATCAGGTCCCCGTTATAAGCTCCAGCTCTTCTCTATCTTAACTGTCACATCACGATGGAAGTGACTCTTATTTACCAACATATTTTGTAGAGGTCCTTGGATACTTTTCTAATTACCTTAATTGTTAAGAGTTATACTTCCTTTGGTGGAACAAGAGTCCAGGGCACCAAGTACAGACTTCGGTTCCCATCCTTGCTGTGTATTTTTCTCAGAATTGGATAAGAAATATGATGTTGTTTTTGTTAAGATACTAGTAAATGGTGTAACTGGCAGCATTTTTAGTTTTCAAAAATGAAATCAAATGTGTCCTCTGCATGATTATTCTAAGAGTTATAAGCACCGGAGAATCTTTTTCAGGAACCCAAATCTTTATTACTAAACCTTTATTACTGGGGTAGATAGTGTAGAGCTCAAATAATAACTTAGCAGTGAGTTAGAATTTGATGTGACATCTTCTAATTGTCATCTGGGTCTGTGGCCCAGTACCCTCATGTCATTTTTCTGTTGTGGTGCTGGGGCCTAGCCCACGGCCTCAGCATGCTGGGTAAGTGCTCTGCCACTGAGTACGCGCTCAGCCTTTATCTCCTCACATTTTTCCAGAAGCAGTGGAACCATTAAAGTATTCCGTGGTGACAAGTGAAATATTTACCAATGTGCCTGTTTTATGTATTTTTTAAAAAATGAAATTATTACAGTAAATAGAATCTTGTGAGTCCAGAATTGATATGATTTTGTTTTTTCTGAATTTCATTCTAATCATGAGTGAAAGGAGGGCAGTGAGTCTTGCCGTAACTAGAGTTCTTTTCACTGCTATTTCAGTCGGTTTCTGTATCCTGGGAAGAATGGCCGACTTGGAGACTTCTTTGGAGACTCTAGCAACTTTCCTTCTGAATTGAATCCTTCGGGCAGTAAAGATGGAAAATATGAGCTCTTAACAGCAGCAAATGAAGTTATTGTTGAAGAAATTAAGGATCTGATCACCAAAAGTAACAGCTTTTTATTTTCATGGCTATTATTTTGGTAATGGACTTGATTTGGGAGGTTCTTCAGGCCTTCACAGCAAAGATTTGAGGCTCCTGTGCAGTCTGCTTGCACACTCTCCCTCTTCCTTTTCTTTCTGGGAATCTCTCATCCAGTCTGCACAGTATTTGGCTCTATAGCCTCGACACCACTGACCAGCTGCTGCTGCTTCTCGCAACTCTGAGCAGCCTGTTTCAGGGGATGTTCTGTTGATCTGGTTTTCCTCTTTTATGGACCATTCTTTCCTAGTCTCTGTTTCTAGCTTTTCCTTCATCTTGTTCCCGCACATATCTGCTTGTGTGTGTGCATGTGTTTTGCATCAAACTTCTTGGTCTCCATTTCAGTGCCCCCCCCCCCCATCTCCTTCACATTGCCCAGATTCCATTATCCTTGCCCTCAAGGACACCACCGTTGTCACCTCCTGTTGGTCCCCCAATTCACCTGTGTCTCCAGATGCAAAGTTTCATTGTTGACCCCTCCCTTCTCCTCACACCCATCTCAGCAGCCTCACAGGCCTTTACAGGTTGCCTGTTGTCTGCAGTTGTGACTTTGTCAGACCTTAGTGTGTGTCAGAGCCACATGGACAGAAAAGGGGGCTTCAGACACAGAAGTTTCTGCCCAGGGCTGGAAGGACAAGGGGTGACCACCGATGGCTCTGGGAAGCTGTGTGGAGATTGGATTGTGGCGATGGCTGCACAGCTGTAAACTTTCTAGGAATAATTGAGTAGGACTGAGTTTTGTGGTCTATAAAACATACCTCAATAAAGATATTAAGAATCATTTAGAGGAGCTGGGCTCAGTGGTGCACGCATGTAATCCCGATGGCTTGGGAGGCTGAGCCAGGAAGTTCATGGGATCAAAGATAGCCTCAGTAATTTAGGGAGGCCCTAAGCAACTTGGTGAGACCCTATCTTAAAATAAAAAATAAAAAGGGCTGGAGATGTGGCTCAGTGGTTAAATGCCCCTGAGTTCAATACCCAGTAGTCTCCCCGCAAAAAAAAAAAAAAAAAAAAAAAAAAAATCAGTTGAAGGCTTATTAAAGCAGAGTACAGGGGGAGAACCCAAGAATTTGAATTTCTGAGTTCCCAGGCAGTGTTCCTATAGCGGGTTCCAGAATCTTGCTTTGAGAATCACTGGCCTCCAGGATAGGGTCAACTTTTTTGTTTAATCTTTACCACCTTTCCTGGGTCCTGGGCCTGGAGGCATAGCTAGAGAGAAGAGTGCTTGCCTAGCATGCTTGAGGCTCTGGGTTTGATCTCCAGCATCTCCTGGACCAGCTACAGTCCCCTTTACACAGTGTAATTCTGGACTCCTCACCCTCTTGAGTTGCAGGATTTGGATTTTGATTTCTTAAAAGAGTGACCTTTTTCAGCCATACGTGGTGGCACACACCTGTAATCCCAGGGATTTGGGAGGCTAAGGCTAGAGGATCAAAGTTTTAAGGCCAGCCACAGCACCTTAGTGAGACTCTGTCTCAAAATAAAAAATAGAAGGGTTTGGAGATATAAATCACTCTTGGGTTCATTCCTATTACCACAAAACAAACAGAAAACTCTCTGTTTTTACCCATAGCATCAAACAAATAGTAGACTGCCTCTGTTTCTCATAAGGAGAGGAAAGGGGTTCTCTGCTCTCTACTGACTAGCCTCAGTGGATAGTGGAAGAAGTGGGAAAAGGTGGCAGGGAGCCTCAGCCCAGTCCCTGTCCAGGCTGTCTATAGTTATACATGACATTTTAAATTTTTAATTTTATTTATGATACTGAAGCTGGAACCCAGGACCTCATGTATGCTAGGCAAGTGCTCACCACTGATCCACATCCCTATCCCCATATGTGACATTTCGTGCAATGTAGATGGTTATTTATTTATTTGCTTTTTGGTACCAGGGATTGAACCCAAGAACACTTAACCACTGAGCCACATCCCAAGCCCTTTTAAATTTTATTTAATTTAGAGACAGGTCTCACCAAGTTGCTGAGTCTGGCTTTGAACTCATGATCCTCCTGTCTCAATCTCATGAGCAGCTGGGATTACAGGTATGTGCCATTGTGCTGGCTTAGATGGTTAATCTTGAACCTTTCAAGATAACAAAAGGATCAAAAATTCACCCTTTTTTTTTTTTTCTCCTTCAGTGCTGGGGATCAAACCCAGGGCATATTTGCTAGACAAGTACTCTTCCATTGAGCCACACCCCAGCCTTCATAATTAAATTTTTTAAAAAGATGTTTATTTATTTTTTTAGTTGTAGTTGCACACGATAACTTTGTTTATATGTGGTACTGAGGATCGAACCCAGGGCCCCGCACAGCTAGGCGAGCGCTCAATCACTAGAGCCCCAGCCACAGCCCCATAATTAAACATTTTTTGAAAGCTTTTCATTACAGTAAAATCTAGATGAAATTTACTATTTACTGATTTTTAGAATTTTTAATTTAAAATTTACATAGCAAAAAATGTACCATTTTAACAGTTTTTAAGTGTATAGCTCATTATGTTAAGTGTCCCGCAGCTGAGCAGTCTTCGCACCGCCCATCTCTAGAACTTTCTTACCATCCCAGACTGGAGCCCCACCCTTATTTCAGCCTGAACCAAGCACCTGGATATTTTAAGTTGAGAAAAGGTTTCAAAGTTGTTTTTTTTTTTAAGTATAACTGGGAACAAGTTGCTATTTTTAAACCCAACCTGAAAATATCATCATTTTCTTTTACTCACGAACACTTCAGTTTGAAAATGGCTTTAGTTGAAGAAAGTACTTAAATATTACCTCTTTAATGCTTTTTATTATTTGTAGGTGACATTAAGGGTCAACATACGGAAACTCTGCTGGCGGGATCCCTGGCCAAAGCCCTCTGCTGTATCCTGGTGTTTGACTTGCTTGGAAACAGTCTTCTGTGATGAGTGTGTTTAACCTCCCGGCATTTCTTAGACCTTGGGTGTCTCTAAAGCCTGAGGGTTCTGAAGTGGTCAGTATGATAATTTAAGGTATATAGTTTATCTTGGCTTTGAGATCACCTATAAAACTTTAAAATGAGGGAAGAATGAACTCCAGTTCCTCCCGAATGTCCTTATGCCTGCAACAAACGATTCTTCAGATGCTTTCTTGTTTCTAATTTTGATAAGGTGGCATTTTAAAAAATTTTCGGTCTTGAGTTGGAAACAGTGTTTAACTTTAGAAGCTGTTTACTGACCTGTCAGCTTAGTGAGCTGCCCCTTCCCACAGGCTAGTGCACTTAGCGGAAGGCACAGCACTGTCTGTATTATGCAATCGTATTGTTATTATTTTGCAGTACTAGGGATTGAACTCAGAACCTCATTTATGCTAGGAAAGTGCTGTGCCCCTGAGCTGTGCCCCAGTCCTTTTGCTTTTATTTTTTAGGACAGTACCAGATGATTCCTGTGTTCTAGACTTTGACCCAGGTTGCCTGATCATCTTTGTATGGTTTTAAAATCTATCTCATTTGATTGGTTTATTGATTTGTATGTTGTTGCAGTATTCAGATCTAGGATGCATTGGATAATAATAGAACAGTCAGGCTGGGCTGTGACTCTGGCAGAACACTTGTGTCCAACTAAAACCCCCAATTTTTTTTATTAAATTAGGACAATCAGATGTAATTTTTTTTTTTTTTTGGTAGCAGGGATTGAACCAGGGGCACCTAAACACTGAGTCCACATTCCCAGCCTTTTAAAAATATTTTATTTTGAGACAGGATGTTACTAAGTTGCTGAGGCTGGCTTTGAACTTGCAAAACTCCTGCCTCAGCCTCTTGAGCCACTGGGATTATAGGTGTGTGCCACCGCCGGCAGATGTTAGTAGTTTTAATCATTTGAAACAAAGACCATACAGAGCCCAGTTGATTACAAAGGTAGTAATCAAAAAGCCTGATCACTCTTGTGTGTCTTATCACCATTTCTTTTTTTTCATCTAGCTGGTCACTGAGTTTATTTAACTAAAATTTAAGGTTATTTTTTTGTTTATTATAAGTATTTATGAAATAAAATTTTTGTTTTCCTTAATATTAAGAAAATAAGACATTCACAGAATAAACAAGGAAGTTAAAGGTAAGAGCACTTTTTTATGGAACTGTAATACTGTTTATTTTACCACTGTCTATAAGTTTTCCAACTTAGTTGGAAAACCGTATGTTTCATATGCTTAATAAGTTGTATTGTTATTCATTTAACAGCAGTCATAACCATACATGTTTGATAAGCTACATTGTTATTCAATTAAATTGTAATGTTTTTATCTCTTTATAGATAATCAGGAGATGAAATCAAGGATATTGGTAAGATTTTAAAAGTTAATAATATGGGGCTTGGGATGTGGCTCAAGCGCTCCACTGGCATGCGTGCGGCCCTGGTTCGATCCTTAGCACCACATACAAACAAAGATGTTGTGTCCGCCAAAAAACTAAAAAATAAATATTAAAAAAAAAAAAGTTAATAATATGTTTATATATGACTACCTAAATTGGAAAATAGTAGGAATAAGACCCATTTAAAATAAAAGAAAAAAGCAGAATTAATTTAAACAGGCATTATGTAAATTGACAATTAAAAAAACACTAAAATTCTGAAATAAAAAAATTAAATGGAGTATAACTAAGAACATTTTTTAAAAAATTAAATAAATGGAGAGCCATATTTAATTGTTAGATGTGAAGTTTTCTAAAATCACACTGAATATTCAATGCAATCTGTTAGAAAATCAATGAATTTTTTTTTTTTTTTCCTAGCAGGCTGGGGAGATTTTTTAAAAAATTCAGCTATGTAATAAGTGAAGAATAAGTGAAAGGAAATAGGTTCTTTCTAAAAGGGAATAATAAATAGGATGTGGAGGGCTGGGGTTGTGTCTCAGTGGTAGAGCACTTGCCTGGCATGGGTGAGACTCTGGGTTGCATCGTCAGCACCACATATAAATAAACAAATAAAGGTCCACTGACAACTAAAAAATAAATAAATATTAAAAAATAAATAAATAGGGCGTGCCCTGTAAGTCATTAAAAGTACGTTGTGAGGCCACAGTGACAGTGTGGCATTGGCACAGTAGCAGCAAATAATTTGGGAAAGCCTGGAGTCCAGAAATGAATCACATTCCTACCAAAGGATGGCTTGGGACAAAGGACACTTAAACTAGAAAAAATTGATTATTCAATAAAAAGTGCTGGGCCTGCCCATTGGATGTTTGGGGCAAAACAAAGAAGATTCCTGTCTCACTACTGATACCTAAATCTGTCCTACCAAAGATCAGACCTTGTAGTATTAAATTTTGAGTCACAAAAATGCTAAGAGAAAATATCCTTTGATAATCTTGAGAGGCAAGTACTTTATTAAGCATGGAACTTAGGGAGGGCTTTACTCCTCATAAAAAGAAATAAGTAAATAAAACCCTCAAAACAAAGACAAACAAAAAAGTATTTTTCAGTATAATTACATTATAGAGAATTGATGTTGTATTTCTAAAACAACAAAAAAAGAACTCTTATTAAAAGCTAATCTTTAAAAGTCAAACTTTTAAACTTTCACTCTAGAAAAACAGGTAGAAAAAAAAATGAGGGCTGGGGTTGTGGCTCAGTGGTAGAGTGCTTGCCTGGCTCGTGTGAGGCCCTGGGTTTGATCCTCAGCACCACATAAAAATAAATAAATAAAGTTATTGTGTCCAACTACAACTAAAAAGTAAATATTAAAAAAAAAAAAAGAAGAGCCTGCAAAAGAAGAATGCAAGTGGCCAGTTCTAGCATTTGAAAATGTTCAGCCTGAGCTGGGTGCAGGGTACATGCCTGTGGTAATCCCAGTGACTCCGAGGCTGAGGTAAGAGGATCACAAATTCAGGACCAACCTCAGCAAATTAGCTAGGGCCTAAGGACTTACTGAGACTCTGTCCCAAAAAAAAAAGATAGGTAGGGATGTGATTCAGTAGCTAAGTGACCTTGGGTTCAATTCCCAGTACAAAAAAGGAAAAAGAAAATGTTCAGCTTGACTGGTAAGCAGAATCATTGCAGGTAATGGAATTTTCATTGTTGCTTAGCACAAATGAGAAAAACCATGGCAGTTCCTGGGGTTGCTGGCAGTGTTACGGATTGGTTGTGTTTTCTCTCTCTCTCTCTCTCTCTCTCTCTCTCTCTCTAATACTGGGGATTGAACCGGGGGCTTATCCACTGAGTTCATCCTTAGCCTCAAATTTACGGGCCTCATGCCCCAGCCTCCTGAGTAGCTAGGATTACAGATGTGTGCAGCTGTTTTTTTGCTAGATTGGTTGTTTTCATGCTCTTCTGATGAAAGGATACATTGATAAGATTTTTGGTTTATGATCTATATCAAGATTAAGTGTGTGCCTGGATATGGTGCACACCTGTAATCCTAGCACTTGGGAGGCTGAGGCAGGAGGATCGAAAGTTCAAGGCCAGCCGTGAGCCAACAATGAAGGGAGACCCTGTTTCAAAAAGCAAAAGGCTGCTGGGGCTGGGGCTGGGGCTGGAGCTCAGCGGTAGCACGCGTATCTGTCATGTGTGAGGCACTGGGTTCTATTCTCAGCACTGTGTGTAAATAAATAAACGTCTATTACAACTAAAAAAAAGTATATTAAAAGGAAAAGGCTGGGCATGATGACATATACCTGTAATCCCAGTGATTCAGGAGGCTGAGTGAAGAGAATCGAAAGTTCAAAGCCAGCCTCAGCAACTTAATGAGGCCCCAAGCAACTTAGTGAGACCCTGTCTCTAAATAAAAAAAAGTCTGGAAATGTGGCTCAATCTGGGTTCAATCCCTGGTACCAAAATCAAAACAAAAAGGCTGGGATGTAGCCCAGTGGTAGAGTGTCCACCTGGCATGTGTGAGACGCTGGGTTCAGTCCCCAGTACTGAAGGGGAAAAAAATCAGTGCATACACTAGCAGTCTTCTGGAGGCAATCAGGGAGCAAAGGGTACGTGAGGGTGTCATCTGAACATCATAAGAGAGAATTGGAAACTGCTTAAATGTCCTCTGCAGATAATTGGTTAAATACTAGAAATCTGAGAAGTCAGCAAGAAGTACCGTATATACTCATGCACTGCATGGTGGTGTTTTGTCAGTGTGGACTGCATATACGAGGTATAGACCCTGTCGCCATATGGTAGATGGTACCATCTAGATGTGTGAAAAGTTCACTCTACAATGTTCAAACAGCAGAATTACCCAGTGACTCATTCCTAGGAACTTATCCCCGTCATTAAGTGACACACAGCTGTTTTATTTCATTGATGTAAGAAGATCTCTTCCCTCCATGTATCATGGCATGACAATCAGGTGTAGGAGACCAGTGGAGCCCCTCTGTGCACTGTGTTGGTCTGCAGGGGTGCTCTCTGGGAGCATGCTCAAACTGTCACAAGGGTCGTCTCGGGGAAGGGTTAGGGGCAAGTTCTGCTGCCATCTTTTCCTTTAGTATTTAAAAATGGAAATAGGAAAACAAATCGGGAAAACAGTATTGGTTGTGACTTTTAAGTGGGAGTCCAGGGACACTCAGAGATATTAACGGGGCCTTGGTTTTTAGGTTATTAAGGCTGCAGAAGACAGCGCACTGCAGTACATGAACTTCATGAATGTCATCTTCGCAGCACAGAAACAGGTGAGTTGAGAGCCTTCCTCTTCGAGGACATTTGTTTCACATTGAAGGACTCTGTCATTTGAATGACCTTCTTGGGGCGTTCTGTGTGAAGAGTCTTATTAATGGATCAGGAATCCAGGATCTTTGCTGGAAACCAGTCACGTCTGTTTTATGTCCTAGAACCCCTGAGAATGAGTTGGGTCCCCAGAATACTGTGCCCTCCTGTGGTTTTTCATGCAGTGTCATCGTTTTCAGGGAACCTTTAGTCCATCCTTGGCCCCCAGCCAACAATCCGTAGTTTGACAGTTTCTTTCCTTTCCTTTTTTTTGTTTTTGTTTTTACTTTTTATTTTGCGGTCATAGAGATTCAGCACAGGTACTCTACCACTAAGCTACGTCCCTAGCCCTTTTTAAACATTTTTAAATTTTGAGACAGGGTTTTGCTATGTTGCCCAGGCTGGCCTGGGACTTCCGATCCTCCTGCCTCAGCCTCCCAAGTAGCTGTCTTACAGTCCTGAGTGCTGTGCCGACTGGGATTTGGCAGTTTTCTGCATAAACCTTGCCTATGTTTTTCTCTCTTTAGTGAGGCATTCAAAGATTCAATATTTTGAGTTTAAAAACAGTAAAGATGTTCAGATGAATATAACTAATATATTTTTCTTTGACAGGTTTAAAAAAGATAGGCCAGGGCTGGGGTTGTGGCTCAGCAGTAGAGCGCTTGCCTAGCACATGCGGGGCACTGGGTTTGATCCTCAGCATTATATAAAAATAAAATAAAGGTATTGTGTCCAACTACAACTAAAGCAATATATGTGTATATATATATATATATATATATTTTTTTTTTTTTAAAAAGATAGGCCAGTTGCAGTGGTACATACCTATAATCCCAGCAACTTGGGAGGCTGAGGATCACAAGTTCAAGACCAGCCTGAGCAACTTATCGAGATCCTGTTTCAACATAAAAAAATTAAAAAGAGGCTGGAGATGTAGCTCAGTGGTAAAGTGCCCCTGGGTTTGATCACCAGTACCAAAAAAAAGAAAAAGTGATACGTATAAGACAGTCATTATTGGTATTGTTTCTGTAATATTTTCAAAATGTCCCTTTCAGAATATTCTGATCGATGCCTGCGTTTTAGACTCCGATTCAGGACTTCTCCAACAGGTATGTTTTAAAACAATTCTTGATGTTGATAGTTACAAAGAGTAACTTTGAGTAGTGTTAAAATGATAATACTGTGGCTATGTTAAATTAAATGCTACTAAAAGAATGACTTTCAAACTTATTTTGTACTGGGGATTGAACCCAGGGATGCTTAACCACTGAGCCACATCATTAGCCCTTTTCATTTTTTGTTTTGGGACAGGTTCTCGCTAAGTTACTGAGGGCGTCACTAAGTTGTTGAGGCTGGCTTGGAACTTGCTGTCCTCCTATCTCAGCCTCCCAAGCCTCTGGAATTACAGGCGTGTTTTTATTTTTACTTGATACATAGTATATGTGCATATTTATGGAGTTCATACAATGTAACATTTTTATATAGGTATATAATGAGGGTACTTGGCATACCTTCATTTGTTATTTAAGCCACTTATGTATATATAATCTTGCACACATGATTTTATTTCAATATTTAAATACCAGAAAGATTGATTGCATTTTTTATTTGCACATTTCAGTCTACATGGTGTGGGCTTGCTTCTGCCATGACTGAAAACGAGCTCTGGCCCCATCTGTTGCCTTTGTGTCCCTGCTCCAGGCCTAGCTGCTCCTCTGGGCTCCAGGCTTACATATTCATTCGTGTTCATAGAATATCCTCTTGGACATCCGGATGTCACTTAAACTTAGGTCCCCATGGGAGAGCTTTTTTTACACAGCCTTTTCTTGCCCCAGTGGCAGCCCATCTCAGCAAGAGGCAATGTCACTGAGCGGTCAAGCCCCAGCCAGCTCTTGCTTGTCTCCTCTGCCTCTCCTTTTATATCTCCTGGCAAATCCTTTAGATTCTTTTTAAATACATCCCGAGTCCCTCCCTTCAGTAGGTGACTACAATAGCTTTGAGGCTTACCCTCTCCTGCCAAAGTTGGTTCTCACCATGGCAGTAAGAGTGGCGCTTTCACTGGGCACGGTGGCCCACACCTGTAATCCCAGCAGCTCAGGAGGCCGAGGCAGGAGGATCACAAGTTCAAAGCCAGCCTCAGCAACTTAGCAAGGCACTAAGCAACTCAGTGAGACCCTGTCTCTAATTAAATACAAAACAGGGCTGGGGATGTGGTCCAGTGGTCGAGTGCCCCTGCGTTCAGCTCCTGTACCCAGTACCCAGGAAAAAAAAGAATGGAGCTTTCAAAATGTAAATAAGATGATGTAACTTGCTTCCTAAAAACCCTACCCTGGTGTCAAATCACACAGGATTCTACCTCGGTCCTCTTCCAGGGTCCAGGTCCTGCCTGCTGAGAGCCTGCAGACCTGAGCCCCACCCCCCAGCCTCCTGGCTGTTGCCCGAAAACCCAGCAGCGCCAGACTCGCTGCACCACACGGTCCCTGTTCCTCGGTGCTCGAGTGGCCTGCTCTCTGCCTGTACTTGATCCCTGCCTCTGTCGCCTCCCAGGAAGCCTTCTGTAACTACCCTATTTCATTTTTCTTCATAGAAACGATCATAAAGCTGTAAAGTTATTCTTGTATTTACTAACTCAATTCGTTCTCTTTTGGGGGGCTGGGTACTGGGGCACTCTACCCCTGAGCTACAGCCCCAACTGATCCCCCTTTTAAAATTTTTATTTTGAGACAAAATCTCAATAAGTTGCTGAGGCTGGCCTTGAGCTTGTGATCTTCCTGCCTCATCCTCCTGAGTTGCTGGGGTTACAGGCATGCCATCCTGCCTGGTCTCATTTACTCCTAATCTTTTTTTTTTAAATATATATATATATATATATATATATATTTTTTTTTTTTTTTTTTTTTTTTTGGTAGGTGGACACAATACCTTTATTTTATTTTTATGTGGTGCAGAGGATTGAACCCAGTGCCTCATGCATGCTAGGCAAGCGCTCCACTGCTTAGTCCCAGCCCCAGCCCTATTCCTGATCTTTTGAAAGCACTAAGGCACCAGTTCCTGAGGATGACACTGTTTGTCTTGTTTACTGCCATAGTCCCTGAGCCAGGGACGTGGCATGTGGTAGTGCTTGAAAACAGTTGTTAGATGAGTCAATGAACTTCATGCACCAGCTGGACCTTTTGTAGGCCTGGAGAGTCACTGGTGGGAATTTCGTCCCCCTGGAAAGGCCCAGAGGTGCTAGATTGGCATAGCCCTTTGTGTGTCTTGCAGGCTTGTGACATCACAGGAGGACTGTACCTGAAAGTGCCTCAGATGCCGTCCCTCGTGCAGTATCTACTGGTAAGGAGATTGCAGCAGCGCCTGCCACGTGGGTCACCTAGATGGTTGGGAGCAGGGACAGTGACTCAAGGGGAGGAGTAAGCAGGTGGCTTCGGGTTTCCGAGCTTGGAAGGCTGGTGTCTGGTGGTCCTCAGACCCTGTAACGTCTGTGCAGTGTCTCATGTGGCCATTTATAAAACAGTGCCTGTGGCTGGAGCTGTTCATTGTGGGCTGAGTGAATAAAAATGCATTTCTCAGTAGACTTTTAAGGAAAGGCTTGTCTTAGCATCCTCCTTAATGTTGGCTGGCTGGTACCTGTTATGTATTCTGACTCCTGGTTATTTTTTCCAAGTATTCTAAGTAAAAGTTTCTTTTATCTTTCTTTCTTTCTTTTTTAAACAGTGGGTTTTTCTTCCTGATCAAGATCAGAGATCTCAGTTAATCCTCCCACCCCCAGTTCATGTTGACTACAGGGCTGCCTGCTTCTGTCATCGGAATCTCATTGAAATCGGCTATGTCTGCTCAGTGTGTTTGTCAAGTAAGTTCATGGGCCTCGTTTCTTTCTTTCTTTCTTTTTTTATATGTTGGAAGGGTAGAAAAGATCCCAACTATGTAGTTTTTAAACCATTCTGTTTTTATTTTTTTTATTTACAGTATTCTGCAATTTCAGCCCTATCTGTACCACGTGTGAGTAAGTATCTTTGAGGTTGTGTGTGTGGCTCAAGTTTAGAGCTTTGAGAGCATTTAAAGTCTTCTCTCTCTGTCATTTCAGGACAGCCTTTAAGATTTCTCTTCCTCCTGTACTGAAGGCCAAGAAAAAGAAATTGAAAGTGTCCACATGATAAGAAAACATTTTCTACCAGGTGCGGTGGGTGGCATGCCCCTGTAATCCCAGGGACTGTGGTGGCCAAGGCAGGAGGATTGCAAATTTGAGGACAGCCTGGTCAACTTAATGAGATCCTGACTCAAAATGAAAAATAATCAAAGGGCTAGGAAGGTATTTCAGTGGTAGAGTCCCTGTGTTCAATCCCCAGTACAGGCAGAAAAATTTGCAACTTTTAAGGCTATTAGTAGAAATTGTGTGGCAGAATTTTTGCCGTGATGCTCTGAGATAAATACAGATATGAATAGGGTAGGTATTTATATAGTGAGTTTTTTACAAGAAATATTCCCTACATGTCATCCTCAGCTTGTGCTTCTGGGACTGGCGTGTGAGGGGTCATCCTGTGTAGTACAGCCTCAGGTCTTCTGTGTTTTGTCTAGAAAGGGGGAAGAAAGCAGAGATCTCTGACTTTCTTTTTATGGGATGTTCACTTATCAAAGTCAGGCTTTTAAACTTACAGATTCTCACTTTGAAATGCATGGCATGTGAAATTTAACACAGCTTTGGAAAAAGTAGCTATTTATGGAGTCATCAATTAAGATAAAGCATCTTTCATAGCTGCCTCCCACGGTGGTCAAATGTAAACAAATCCTTATTGTCAATTGAGATTTGGCTTCAGATATTATCACATTTATTCTTTTTTTTAATATTTATATTTTTTAGTATAGATGGATACCTTTATTTAATAAAATTAATTTTATGTGGTGCTGAGGATCGAACCCAGGGCCTTTCACGTGCTAGGCGAGCGCTCTACTGCTAAGTCCCAGCCCCAGCCCTATGTTTATTCTTTCATCTGTTATCAGTACGTTTGGACAGAGTTATCCAATAATAAGTTTGTCACTGAGTAACTACAGAATCTGATTTCAGGTGAACGAGGAAAGCAGGTGTACTAGATGTGGAAAATTTTTCTTCATGAGCCGACGTGTGAAGAACTTACTTGTGGAAGCAGATGTCTATGATCTGAGGGGGATTTGTCAGGGAAAATGGATTCTGTTACTTGTCTGCAGATAAAAATCTGTCATTGTTAATGAGAAGAAAGGTTAATATTGTAGAGCTGTTCTCTAGAGGCTGTGAACTAAATAATGAAAACTTCCATAAGTTCAAAACAAACATGATTTGTAATTTTAGCAATGACTTTATTTTTCTATGTAATGGTTTTCCTTGAAATATTGCTTTAACTATTTCTATTCAGTGATTTTCCTTGAAATCATTCAGGGTCCCTTCGTGTCCAGCACAGCGTAGGCAAGTGTAAGGAATGGCGATAGGATTCGTTTTTTCAAAGCATATCAACAAAAACCCACTTGTGTACAAAACTTTGTATATAAATAAGATTTAAATTTTCTCTTTGACTATCTCAGAAATTGAGTCTTATTTAAATAATTTGCTTAGATAATTTCAGATTGTGTTCTGGATTTGTATTCATTAACAAATACACAATGATTTAGAGGATCGCTTTGCAAGTATTTATTAATCCTTGCATTTGAGAAGTGGTTTGTTTTTTAAAAACATTACTATTTCAGGGCAAGGGCTGTAGCTCAGTGGTAGAACACTTGCCTAGCATGTATGAAACACTGTGTTCCATCCTTAGCACCACTTAAAAATAATAAACAAAGGCATTCTATCCCCCTACAATTACAAAAAAATAAATTAATAATAATAATAAAAATAAATAAAGACATGCTGTCCATCTGCAACCTCAAAAAAAAATTACTATGGGACTCACTATTTTAAGTATAGGAGGTAAAGCATTTAGATCTAAAAGATGAATAGTTTCAGCTGGGCACAGTAGTGCACACCTATAATCCAGCAGCTTGGGAGGCTATCATAGAAGAATCACGAGTTCAAAGCCAGCTTCTGCAACTTAGTGGCCCTAACCAACTCAGTGAGACTCTGTCGCTAAATAAAATACAAAATAAGGCTGGGGATGCGGCTCAGTGGTCGAGTACCCCTGAGTTCAATCCCTGGTACTAAGGGGGAAAAAATTATAAAAGACAAAGTTTCAAACAAACTAGCAAGGTTTTCTCACTATTTTTTTGTTTTTGAACTGTTTTATATACTTGCTTAGTTCTGGTTTTTGTGTGTTCATGATACATTTTGTGTAAATTTGTACAAAATAACTTAAATGTTCATACTTGGTTGAATTATTTCCTCTTAATCATATTTATCTCATGTTCCTTCAACATTTCCTCAAACATGTACTTTATAAATGGATTTCATTAAATGTCAGACAAATGTTTATTCAACTGAAAAAATATAATTTCAAATCTTGCCAAAATTATACATGAATATATTGTTACAAGTACCATACAATAAAAAGTTGGTGTGAAGGGTTTAATGTACAACTCCTAAGAAAGTATTAGAAGAGAGATTTGATGTTTGTATTTTACATTGGGAGCAAGGTCAGCAAAATTTCACTTGCTTGATATTTTCTTTGGCTTAAGAAGGCTGGTTGGAAGTCTCATGTATGTTTTGATAACAGAAAAGTGGGTCAGTTTATGGTACTATAATATTTAAATGCCATGCAGTTACTGTTTTGCAGAGTAAACGGTAGAATGAATGTGACTCTTCAACCCGCTGTTTTGAAGGCATCCTTTTAGGCTTTATCTATAGTCTGTTGCTTTAAAAAATAATAACAACAATTGTTATTGTTACATCATTATATTATAACTATTATATATTATTACATGATGATGATGATGATGATTTGTGGTATTGAGGATTGAACCCAGGGGTGCTTAACTGCTGAGCCACATCCCAGCCCTTTTTATTATTATTATTTTTTTTATTTTGAGACAGGGCCTCACTGAGTTCCTGAGGGCCTCACTAAGTTTCCCCAAGCTGGCCTCAAACTTGAGATCTTCCTGCCTCAGCCTCCCAAAGCCTGGGATTTCAGAAATGCACCACCGTGCCTGGCTTTTTTTATTTTAATTTAGTTTATTTACTTCAAATTATCCAAAGGGTTTTACTAGAGTGCTAGTAATTCTGAGAGAGTGCAGGGAATATTTTTAGCACCAAAACACTTTGGTGTAACAAATATGGTGTAAAAATCAGGCAGTGCATGGAAAACTGAATTGAAATTTGGGGCCTACATTTTATATTAAGAGAAATGAGAATTTTAAGATGATTCTCTGGTACCAATTTTTAATAATGCCATTGCACTCAGAAATACCAGTTGCTTTTCCTCTTATAACTTCCTTTGACTACTACCCTAGAATTTCATGGTTCATTTCAGTACTGTCTAAATAGCCCAGTGTGACTAAAATCAGGACGTGAGGCATACTTTTATTACTTTTTTTTCTAATTACAATAGAAAATGATTAAATACTTTCTGAAAAAAATCACGACATTCACAAGTAGAAGGAAAAATAGAAAATCCACTTTCATCATGAATAATTGCAATGAATAATTGCCAAAATTTATGGAATCCTTATTTCATGTGTGGCCTTGAGCTAAAAGCACTTTCCAACACATCTCTTGTGAATCTCAACCAGAAAAGGTGGTGTCATCCTGTGTTCAGATGAGGAGCTGCACTAGCAGCCTAGTGGGTTCCTCTTGCTAAGGTTTAGTTGAAATATATTCCTATAACAAACTATTTAAAGATGTTTAATTCAGCCGGATGCAGTGACACACCTGTAATCCCAGATACTCAGGAGGCTGAGGCAGGAGGATCACAAGTTTGGGCTCAGCCCCAGCAACTTAGCAAGGCCCTAAGCAACTTAGTGAGACCCTGGGATTTTTTTTAAAAATAAAGCATTAAAAAAATTGTACAATTCAGTGATTTTTAATATATTCACAGATTTGTTCAACCATTGCCACTCTCTTATTCCAGAACATTTCTATCACCCCAAGAAGAAATCCTGATTCTAGTTCCTGGCAGCCACTAATGTACTTCCTGTCTCTGTGGATTTCCTGTTCTGGACACTCCCATATGGATGGAGTCCTGCACTGCGAGGCTTTTCGAATCTGGCTTTCACTTGTATGCTCTCAGGGTTCATCCACACTGGGGCATGGGTCAGTACTTTGGGTTTGCTTTTAGTGTCCCTGGGTGGGTCTCCTTTGGAGCCAAGTTGCTCGAGCACCTCCCATACAGCCTTAGTCAGGATGCCTGAGCAAAGCCCCTGCTCTGATATGAACACTTACCAGGTCCAAGAGCAACCTGCTAGGCTAGGGTCAGTTTCCCAAGAGTCAAACATTGATAGCCTTGAGAAGCTAAGTGACTGGTTCATAAACCTAAAGCCATCAGCCTTTTTATTTTTGTATATATTCTTTTCTTCCTTCTCCCCTACCCTCCTTTTTTTGAGACAGGGTCTCACTACGTTGTCCATGCTGAACTTCAACTCCTGGGCTCAAGTGATCCTTACTGAGGGGCCTGCCCTTCCAGCATCGATTGTGGGGAGCTTGAAGGTGCAGAAAAACCCCTTTGGAGATGGTTTCAGAGAATAGGGTCTGCTTTATTGCACAGCAAAAATAGCTTTTATAGTGGGTATGTGCCAATTATCATATAACAGTCATAATAGGCCAGAGGTGATACACAACATATCATGTTACAGGAGTCCAGACACCAAGAGTCTAGAAACCGCCACGTAGGCTGACCTTGTGCCAACAGGGGAATAACTTCCTGTCAAAGGAGCAAGGAAATGGCGCATGGTGTTCTGACAGCACTCTGTTCCAAAACTTCCTGTGTTCTATGTTAGGGCTTCCCTGCTGCACAGTGAGCAGGGTAAGCATTCTTCCATGCAGGTCCAGAGTCAGGCCCTGCAACAGATCCTCCTGCCTCAGCCTCCCAAGCAGCCGGGATACAGGCATGTGCCACGACAGCCGGTTTTCGGTGTATTCTTTTTTTTTATTTGCAGTTGGACACAGCACCTTTATTTTATCTATTTATTTATATGTGGTGCTGAGGATCGAACCCAGCACCTCACACGTGCTAGGCAAGTGCTTTACCACTGAGCCCCAGCCCCAGCCCTCTGTGTTCTTTATAGTGAACATATCACATGGAGAGGAGGACAGGACAGAGCACGGTTGCTTAAAGGAATGTCTTCTTTCAGGTGGATGCTTTACCACCCGGACTTTAGGGTGTGGCCATGCCTACTTAATTTGTAGATTCGTTTCCCAAAGACAGATGATGAAAAAAAGCAAATGTTTGTCTTTGACAGCTTTCTTCTTAGTAATTTTCCCCTGGGCTTTCTTCCAAGATACTGAGAGATGTAAACACCAAGAGATGTAAACACTTTGCAGTTTCCCAGAGAGGAACCAAGATACAGGGGAAATTTTCATGCCAATGCTACAACGCTTCTGTACTTGCTCCACTCCTGGGCCACACCTTATTTACATGTGTTTTTTTATTGGATTTCCTTCGGGAGTGCTGAGAATTGTGTGGTGGGAAAAAAACTTCCAAGAACTGGGAGAAAGTCCAGGAGTGGTGGCCAGTGACTCAGGAGGATTGCAAGTTCAAAGGCAGCTTCAAGAACATAGCAAGAGACCCTGTTTCAAAAACCACAGGGCTGGGGATGTGGCTTCAAGTGCCCTGAGGTTCCATACTCAGTACCAATACAAAACAGGGAGAACAATGATAACAATTCTCTGCAATTACAGTACTGCAGCCTTATTCCCTTTTAGGTCCACTTCCCCCAAATCCCCATAAAATTGAGTTTATTAAGGTGCAAACCTCCCCTCTTTGTTTAGAAGCCAGGGCCTGTAGGCTCACTCTTGCAGTGGAGTTGCATTAACTGCAGGGCGAAGGGAAACTCCCAAGTTTTCAACTGGACATGAACACGACCAACTTCATTCTAACTGGAAACCAACCAGCAAACAAATGGGAAGGCATTTGTATTGACACCAAGTGTGCAGTCCTTTCTCCAGCACCCCTGTGTGTCTCTGTCACCAATGCAATGTCCTACAGCACAATTCAGTTCTGACACAAACTGCCTGGTGCTAGCAGCACATTCACAGATGGCAGGATGGAGTCCTACAGCACACCTTACTCCCAATGCCAGTCATAGCCATCAGGTCCCAGGTGCCCCATGGTTCCATTTGTGTGGATAAAAAGAGGTTTCCATGATCCCCCTAATATCAGGGATAAAGCTTGGCAAAATAATAAAACGCATGTACACAGAATAAGAGTCAAAATGCATAAGGAAAACTCTCACAACTGCAGAGAAGTAGATGAATCTCTGGTTCAAGGTGGAGACTTCAAGACCCCTCTACTGGAAATGTGTAGATTCGGGAGGCAGATAATTGGTAAGGACATGATTGAATTGAACAGCAGCATCTATCAACTAAGTATATTTGAGATTATAGACTGCTTCATCCAAGAAGAAGGAGCAAAGAAAAACATTCTTAATACATTCACCCAGAGCAGTCTCCAAAAGAGACAACAATCTGTGCCACAAAAGAGAATTTTAACACGTTTACACAACAGAAGCTCTATGACAATGTCTTGGTTTTAAGACTATAAAAATAAAACTCAATTTTAGAAAAAAAAAGTTATAGAAGGTATTGTTAGACCATAGTGGAATAAAATGATAAATTCAAAACAGAGGCCTGGAAACTCCAAAATATTTAAGATTAAAAAAGCAGGCCTGGTAACACATGCCTGTAATCCCAGCGGCTGGAGAGGCTGAGGCAGGAGGATTGTAGGTTCAAAACCAGCCTCAGCAAAATCAACCAAAATCACTAAGCAACTCAGTGAGACCCTGTCTCTAAATAAAATACAAAATAGGGCTCAGGATGTGGCTCAGTGGTCGAGTGTCCCGGAGTTCAATTCCCCGGTCCCCCCCCAAAAAAATTTTTTTTTAAATTTTTCAATATAGAACAATATAAAATTTCTTGTCTCATAAAAATCTCAATTTACAACAAGTATTCACAACGTGGATGGACATATAGCAAAAATAATCAACAAAACATAAATATCATTACACAAACTCTGCCTCTGCAACAAAATACAGTTAACAACTACGACTGCCTTCATCCGCCCCTTGAGTCAAGCCACCTTTGCCACGTGACATAGTTCTGCTGGAGAAGCACCGTAATTAGTAGGTGTTTCTACTCAGCTGTTTGGCCACCGCCACCTCCGTTTCCCTTCTACACACAGAACAGAGCCCCAGAAAAAGCGCCAGGCCTGATGGGCGGGGCCGGGGTGCGCCCCAGGGCCGGGGGCGGGCTTTCTTGCCAGTGAGCCAATCACAGCACGCCTCTCGCCGGGCCGCGGCCCATTGGCGGTTGCCATAGCTGCGCGAGTTCGCTTGACAAGATGGCGGCAACGGGGCGGCGGCTGCCCGGCCTTCCACGCTGGGCCCTTCCCGGCTTCTAGGGCTGGCCGGGCTCCAGGCATGGGCGCTGCGCCGGCGACCCCTC